TTTTAAAGAAATTAAGGAATATTAAAAAAAGTCGGATTAGTACTTTATATAATTATTATACTATAAGTAGATATAGCTTTTATAACTTTTAAGCTTTTCTACTTTTTAATAAACCTATTAAAAAGTACTTAGCTGCTATAAATTAGACGATTCGATATTTTTTTAATATACGCTTTTTATTTATAGTTTATAGTTATTAACTATGTAGCTTATAACTTATTATAGCTTTAGATAGTTTTTTTACCAATAATTTAAAAATAAAACGCTTTTTTTAAAGTATATAATTATCTTATTTAAAGGCTTAATTTTTTAAAAAAAAACTTATTAAGATATTATTATTATTTTTACTACTTAAGTTAAGTTACTTAAAGTAAAAATAATAATAAAAGAAGTAATAGCTTTTTAATGTTTTTTTTATAAAGCTATATTTAGATTTAAAAGTACTTTAGATTATTTTTTATAATAATATATAGATAATTTAGCTAATTATTAGTGAAAGTAAACGTATCTCTACTAAGTTATATTACGTTAATATATAAAATATATAGTTATAATAAAAATTCTAATAAAGTAGCTTTAATATAAAGTACTTATCTATTACTTTTATACTTATAAATAGACTTACTAAAAACCTTTTTTAATAAAAATTCGAGGCTTTTATTACTTTTATTAATCTAGTAGATATACGTTTTTAACTAAAGTAACTTAAATAAATAGTTTATTTTAAAAACAGCTTTTATATTTATACTCTTTTTTATTTTTTATTATTTTTTTTATTAAGTATTTGAAATCGAGTTTCTTATATAACTGTTTAATTTTTTTTTAATTTAAAGGTACTTAAGTTAAAAGGTAATTAAAAGATAAGTTATAAGAGTATTTAGATTTTTATTTATATTTAAAAATCATTTATTAATTTAACTAGAGCCTTTTAAATTTTAAGCTTTTAATAACTATAAATATAACTAAAATTTAAAAGAATAACTTTAGGTTTTTAAGTTTATAAGCTTAAAAGGAGTAGCTTACTAATATAAGATACTAGTAGCTTTTTTAATTAAAGTAGCTAAAGTACTACTGATAATGATATATAGCTTATTAATATAAGTACTTACGGTTATTAACTTCTTTTTACGTTTAACTTTATAGCTAGCTATTCTTCTATTAATACTAGTAGTTCTTTTAAAGCTCCTTTTAACTTTTATACTTATAAATAAAGCTTTTAAATCGTATTAAAACTATATATTAACTTTTTTTTATTCTTATTAACTTCGACTAAAAGTAATTAGATTAGTAAATATCTTTAAAAATCTATAAAATAACTACTTATTAGTCTTATCCTTTCTTTTATTACTTTTATAAGTAATAGTATTATAATCCTTTTTTACTTTAATAAAAGCCCTATAAAGCGAGGTTAAGTCTTAAAAGAGCTATTAGTATAAAGCTTATAGTTTATTACTAAATTTTACTTACTACCTTACTAGCGCTATTAATAAGAGTATCTTAATAGGCTTTAAAAGCTAGAATAATCTTAGTAGAAGTAATAACACACTTATAGTTATTATTAGCGTACTTAAAATAGTAAGAGTTATTAACTATATTAGAATAGTCTTTTAAAATCCTATTTTATATAGTACTTTTTATATAGCTATAATAAGTAGTTACTTTTATAATACTTTAAAAAAAGAACTTAGTAAAACTAGAAGTACTTATAGCCGAAATTATAATAGTAATTCTAGTAGTATAAATAGCTAGTACTAAGGCTATAATCTTATAAATAACTTTAGAAGCGACTAATAAAGCTTATATTATAATTAAAGACTGTTTTATAAAGCTTTAAATATAGATCAAAGGTTTACTTATAAACTTACAAGTAATATAACTAATAATAAGTTACTTAATATAAGCTATTATTATTACTTTTAGTAGTAATAGTATTATTATTATTATTATTATTATTATTATTATTATTATTATTATTATTATTATTATTATTATTATTATTATTATTATTATTATTATTATTATTATTATTATTATTATTATTATTATTATTATTATTATTATTATTATTATTATTATTATTATTATTATTATTATTATTATTATTATTATTATTATTATTATTATTATTATTATTATTATTATTATTATTATTATTATTATTATTATTATTATTATTATTATTATTATTATTATTATTATTATTATTATTATTATTATTATTATTATTATTATTATTATTATTATTATTTAGAAGATTTTAATTAGTAAAAGTAGATCGAGAATTAGAAATTTATTATAAGCTTAAAGTTTATAAAAGAAAAAATACGTAGCTTTATATTACTTAGATTATTTACTTAATTTATACTTTATATAAGTTGGCCTAATTATTTATTCTCGCTTAGTGTAACTAACTATAAGAAGTAGCACTTTTATTATTATATACCTAAAAGGTATATAATATAAGAATAGCTATTTACTTTCGATTTATACTTAATTTAGTTTTATAGCTTTATACTACTTAAAAGAGTACTTCCTTTATTTCTTTTATATATAATTTTAATATAAAAACAATTAATTTAAGTTACTTAAAAAGCCTCTAATATTATTATATATAGTAACTTATTAATATAAAAATATATAATATATTTCTTTTAGTAAAACTATATATAAACTTAAATAACCTTTTACTTAGTTAAGTAATTAAACTACTTTCTTTTATTAATATTACTAAAAATAATAAATAAGAAGTTAAAGGTATACTTACTTATTATAAGCTATAAGAAAACCTCTTTTATTAAGTATCTTAGCTAAACTAAGATATTAATTTAATATAATATAATACTTCTAATATTAAGTATAGCTTATAAAAGCTATTATACTTCTACTTTAATAACTTAATATAAGCTAGCCTACTAAAGAATCTCTTAGCTTACTAGCTTAAAGCTTTTAATAAGAGTATTAATAATTATAATTACTTAGATAAAGATAAAGAAATGAATAAATACTTAAAAATAAGCATTTTTAAAAGAGAGAAGTAATATAACAATTTAGAGGTATTTTTATAGTTTAAATAGCTTAGTTTATTATTTTTAATTAAAAAGATATAACTTAAGCTTAGTAAGATTATCTTTTTTAACTTTTTATATATTACCTTTTAATCTTTTTTACTTTCTTTTTACTTTAGTTATAAATTATAAGAGAATATTAATTACCTTCACTTAATATTATTAATATATAAGACTATTATTATTATATGATATTAGCCTTCTTTAAGATAAGCGTTATAACTTCTTTTATATAGAATAGTTATATAAGCTATAAAAAAGTATATAGTTACTCTTTTTAAATATTATTAGCTTTTTTAAATTAGAGGTAATACTTATAAGACTATATATAATTAAAGTTACTTATAATAATTAGGAAATCTATAATACTAAGTATTTTATTAAGATTTAAAATATAATATAAGATACCTTTATATATAAGCTTTTAGTAAAATATAATTTAAGTCTTAAAGTTAAGTTTAGCTTCTTTTATTAACTTAAGTAATAGTTAGTATTTACTTTTAATTAAAGTTTAATTAAAAATATAGTTAAGTAATTAAATATTAAAGCTCTTATTAGTAATAACTTTTATACTTATAATCTTATAGTATTACTTAATTATTATCCTTTAAATCTACTTATAAAGCTTTTAGTATTAAGTTATTTAAAGTTATTAAATCTTAATATTTATTTTTTAAAGCTTTTACTTAGCTTTTACTATTACTTTATAATTCAAAGCTTTTATTAGTATAACTTATATTAAAGCTCTTAAAATAGATTAAAAGAAGCTAGAGCTCTTATTTAAAGAGCTTAGTAGAGTTTTTAAATCTTATATTATTACTTAACTTATAAGCTCTAATTTATATTTAATATAAGAGATATTATATAATTTTATCTTATTAGTTATTATATTAGTTATTATATTAGTTATTATATTAGTTATAATTTATATTATAATTTAAGGGAGCTTATTAAAGATTTAAGTAAAAAAGATAGCATTTAAAGCTTTTGAATTAATATAAGACTAAAATCTTAAAATATTTATATTTAATATTAAGTATTTTATTTAAGTAAGGAAATCTTTTAGTTTTAAGTATATAATATTAGTACTAAGTAATTATTTAGATTTTAGATTTATTAAAAAAGTAAATATAATTATAAAAGAATTATAAGGATTTAAGAGTTAAAGAATAATTAAAGGGTTCTAATTATAAGCTTAACTAAAGTAATAGAACTATATATATACTAAGTAGTTAAAAGATAGATATAGCTTTTAACTATTATATAATAGTAAAGTAAGCTTTTATTTAGTAAAAATATACTTAATTAAATAAAAGTTATAGTATTAAAAGATATATTTAAAAGAATATTCCCTTTAGAATTAAAAGCTATAAATATATTATATATATATATTTATTAAAGTATATATTAAACCTAAAACAAGCTTATATAGCGCTAGTGTTTAATAACTTTCTAAGTTATAATTAAAGATAATACTATAATATAAATCTTAGTATAATATTAATTAGAAGCAGTAGCTCTTTAATTAATACTATATATATATAAGTAATTAAAGATTCTTAACTTAGTAGAAGTAAACCTTATATATATTTCGCTTGTCTTATTATACTTTTTAATAGCTTAGTCTATAAAAGAGTTATAATAACTAAATACTTATATAGCTATATCTTATTTATCTTAAAGATATAAGTACTAGAACAGAGATAGTAATAATTTAATACAAATATATATATAAAACGTATAAATTTATATCACTAAATTAGTTTTTAATATAATATTACCTAACTTAAAAAGCACCTTAATTCTCCTTTAGTACTAAAACCTCTAATTTAAAATATAGATATAAATAGAGATATTAGTAAGGTAAGATACTTAATTAAAAGTAGTACATATAACTCTTTATAGATATTTTAAATAAAATACTATTAGTATAAACAGCTTAGTAAGGCTACAGAGAGGTGATCTACCTGCTTGTGAACCATAGGACTTGGATATCACGAAAGGATATGTACCACCAGACGGCGATCTGCTGGGCCTTAAAGGAGGGACATAAGGGCGCGGTTCTTAGAAAAGTCCTAACGAACTCCCAAGATTTAAGCCATGCACGTCGGACTATTAATTTCCTCGTGCTTTCAAACTATCCCAAACTAGAATTTGCAAGTTAGTTTCACCGGACAACTCTGTATTTTACACTGATCGTGTCGATATCTTTCCTCATCCCAGTAGACGAACCCAAGAATATAACCCTTCCACCCTTCATACGCCATAACAAGATTCCTTCAGTGATTTACACAAAAGTGCCTGCCACCGTTGCAATTCCACATTGCCCCGTGCTTTGCCCTATTACCCGAAAAGGTAAGGTAGAACAGAAGCAAAAATAAATATTGCGCATTTCACTCATCTCTCCTTATTTCATTGCCTGTTTCCGAGGATTCCGTGTTTTGGAGAAGAGAAAGAGCACCGCCAACCAGGTGCTGACTCCCTGTGATTAGAGTCTGCATACTACCATGGTCCTCGCCGATCTTCTTTGCAAGCTCTAGAGCTCCTCGAATAGTCGGCTCAAATTCAATGCTCGCATCAGGTTGAGCTCTTCTCCAGATTGTCGCATAAACTTGTTGGTCTTGAGACGGTGTCTCCAGGATTTTGGGCTGTGGATCTGAGTTTGAGTCAGTAAAGGAAATTCCAAGGAAGCAAGATGAATATGCATACTATTTGTGGATTCAGATTCCTGGCCTCGTTCGTACGTTGTGAAGATAGCGTGTTGTATCCCGTTGCCCGCAAGTGACGTTGCCAGACGTTCGAAAACTGCTGCCGCGTCTCGTTGATCCGTGATTAGGCTGAAAATGAGAATTCGAGCAACAGGAGAGGTAATCCTAAAGATATCAGCGCTAGTTGTACAGTTTCTAAAATGTCTCATACGTTTGCATTTTGGATGTCTCAAGAAACCATTCGGCAGCTATGCTAACACTCATCTCATTATGCGCGCCATCTAAGAACCACTGAAATTGATTGTCGATCACAAGTTGAAACCGTCCTTGCCATGAGAATTGGCTTATTCCTTGGAATATATCAGATGAACTCAAACGGGAACGACTCGTATTGACCTTTTGATCGAGAAAAGAGCGCACAGTAGCAAGAGCCACTGAGAAATTCGTACGTTGAACATCTGGCTTGAGCTGCACTATATTGGCAGGGAGAGAAGGATCCGGGTCGACAAATTGGAGACTGACGCCTTTATCAGATGCTCGTTTGCGCAGTACCTCTGCGGCTGTGGTTTCTTGGGGCGCCGAAAAGGCAGGAGCTCCAGATTTGAAAATTCCTGCCTTATGCCATGCAATACTCTCGATCGATGAACCAAGCTGTTTCACATGATCCAGTCCAAGTGTCGTGATGGCGGTAATAATAGGTTTCTCGATGACATTCGTGGAATCATACTCACCCCCATGGTGAGTCTTAAATATAGCGGCGTCAACACCTTCACTTATGAAGGTGTGGAAGGCCAAGAGTGCAAATAATTGAAGATGACGAGGTCTGCTGGCGAAATCATGAGGACCGCTTCGTGACAAAAGTTCGTCTACCTCGAAGATGTATTTGGCAAATAGATCTCTGGGGAGTGGCTCAAAATTTATGCGAATCCTCTCTTCTGGGTAGATGAGATGTGGTGTAGTGTATAGACCAACCTTCTGTGGGTACCCAGTTCGTCTCCCGTGGGCTCTCAGAATAGAATCAATGAATGCACACGTGCTTCCTTTCCCTTTCGTCCCAGCGACGTGAATGATATTCAGATTATTAATGCTGGCGGCCTGCTGCTGTTAGCATTAGCGTGCACCAGAAATGGGCCTGCTAAATACCGAGTGACCAAGTTCATCTAGCCAGTGCTTCATCCCTATTATGCTAGGTGTTCCCTTCAGGTCAGATCCTCCATCCAAACTGGGCATCCGGCTTAGTTCAGGAATGCTCTTTGCAGGCTCGGTGCTTGGTCTTAACGCCCGGCGTCTTCCATTCAAAACTGCTATAGCTCTCTGCTCCAAGTCAGATATCGTAAACAGAATTAAGGTGGCTTCACCTGGTAAGTCTTATCCATTGTGAGTAGATGTTTGGCCCGGTTCATCGTAAATAACAGGGATATAGAAACTGACGTGGAATCTTCGGGTGCGATCTACCTATTACAGCTGTTCCTATAACTAGTTAGAAACCACGGGTGCGCGCCCGCCCTTATTAAAAATCGTTTCCCTCCCTCTCTCTAGAAACCTAGCTACTTGTATCTCTATAAAACGTAATTATAAAATACTATAACTTTATAAAAATACACTAGAACACTAATAAACTAACTTATAAGTTTCTTAGCTTTAATTAATTATCTAGTTATAAAGTTATTAATTAATTAAGCTATATAGGATTTAAGGCTTAAAAGTTAAGAGGTAGCCTAAGGTTAGCCTAAGGTAGCCTGAGTATAAGGTAAGCTAAGAAAACCGAAACTCCTAGTTTTAAGGAAATCAAATTAAGTCTATTAATATAACTCTATAAAGTAAAATAAATTATTAAAGTAAGTTAAAATATATTAATCTTCAATTCTCTTAAAAATCTAGGTATTATATTAAAAGGTAGTTATGATATAAGTAGGTACGACTCAGAGAGAGGGGGGGGGAAACGATTTGGATAAAGGTGGAAAATCGGTCCCGTGGTTTCTAACTAGTTATGGGAACAGCTGTACTGTATCAGCGCCACGCTGATGATTTCCGTTAGCTTCAGTCAGCACGTGGCTCATCAGATGTCGATGGCGAAGCGAGTCGGCGAATGGTACAGAGGTATACCTGCGTTAGTACAGAGGCGCATACGCAATTGATTTTTAGTGTAATTAAGAACGCACTTACGTAAAGGGGTGCGCTAGGAGTAAAACGTGATTTAAGGTGCGCCCTAGGGGTATATAAGTCTAATTAAACGTGATTTAGAGTGTACCCTAGGAGTACGTAAGTCTAATTAAATATAATTAAAGTACGCTTCTTAACTTATACTTTAGAAATTATACTTAAGCTATATTAGTTATAATACTAATAGGAAGTAATTAATATATAGTAATATAATAGGAGACGTATATAGTATTAGTTATAAGAAGTTTAGAGAAGGATAAGATATAAAGGTATAGTACTTAAGTAAGTAAGTAGGAACTTAGGGCTAGATCTATATAATATCTAAGAAAGAATAAAAACTTAATATATAAAGAATACTAAGAGTATATAAGATAGTATAAAACTAATAGAAGATATAACTATCTTTTATTAATATAATAATATAAGAAGTAAAGAGCTAAAGTAGTAGGAATTTTCTTAAGCTAAATATAAAATAAAGTTATATAATTTAAGTAAAGATAATAGGAACTAGTAGTATAGCTTAGTAACTATACTAATTAGCTAATATATTACTATAATAAATAAACTTAAAGTTGAAGAGCTAATATTTCGAGCTTACTTACTTAGCTTACTTTACTTATAAGTATAAGATAGATTTATTAATAAGTTTAAAATTCTAAGTAATATATATTCTTTTTTAGTATTTTTAAGTAGATTTCTATTACGTATAAGTAAGCTAAAATATAGAAGTAGATATAATATACAAGGTAATTCGTAGCTAATAGCTATATAAAATACTACTTTTAAAATAATATATCTTTATAATAACGAATAATATAAGTATAACTTTTTAACTAGAAAATATAAAAAGAACTGAAATATTTAATTCTAGAAATTTCTATAATATAATATAATAGAAACTTAGTAGAGAGAGAATATTAAAAGAGTAGTAAATATAAGGAATATAGGGCTAAGGCTATAGATAGAAGTAAAAGCTTTAGATATAATAGCTGAAATAGCGATATCTCTATAATATAATATACTATAGATATAATTTTTTAACTAAGAGATACGAAATAATATAAAATAATTAATTCTGGAATTCTTTATAATATAATAATATAGAAAATTAGTAAAGAGAGAAAATATAAAAGAGGTAGTAGATATAAGAGTTATAAAGTATAGATAGAAGTAAAGGGTTTATATATAATAGCCAAAATAGTAATATCTCTATAATATAATATACTATAGATATGATTTTTTAACTAAGAAATATAGAATAACTTGAAATAATTAATTCTAAAGGTTATACTAGTATAATATACTAGAAAATAGTATTATATAGCTTTCTTAATATAAGTAGATATTTTATAAGTAGTACTTTATAGTTTATAATAACATAAAAGTATATAAGTATTTAATAACTTATTAAATAAAGCTAACTTAATAATTATAGCTAAAGCGACTTTATAAATAACTCCCTTAGATAAGCTAATCTTATATATTTAATAACTCTATACTCTAATAATAGAAAAAGATAATATTTATATTAAATAAAAGCTAAATACTATAAGTATATATAAATAAGTTTTCTATTATTATATATAAAGGGATTTAAGTATTATAAGTAGTTTATCTAAGTTTACTTTAAGTTAGAGATATCTTTACTTTAGTAAGTTATAGTTATAAGTTTAGTTATTTACTACTTTACTAGTGCTAAAGTAGTAGCTTTACTACTTTTATAATTATATAAAAACCTCCCTTACCTTTTTCTTTAACTTTTATTTCTTCTTTTAATAATACCTTAACTTTATAGTTAATCTCTACTTCTATTTCTTTCTTTTTTTTCTACTATAGCTTAAATCTTTAGTATTCTATTCTACTTTCCTTCTTACTCTTATTATTATCTAAATAGTATTCCTATATATTTAGTACTTACTTTATTATTATCTTTAACTCTAACTCTAACTTTAATTCTAATTTTAACTCTAATTTTAACTCTAACTTTAAGAATATTTATAAGTAAGCTCTCTTACTTTTAGTACTTTAACTTAGCTAACTTTAAGCTAGCTCTTAGTCTTTCTTTATAATAATCTCTTATATTATAAACCTTAGCCTTATATATAATTAAAGAGATTTAACTTTTACTTTAATATAAAGTTAACTCTAAAAAACTAAGTACTTTCTTCCTTTAATTTATATTTCTTTTAGTTTATCTCTTTTTTACTTAGCTTTTCTAAGCTAGTTAGTTAGTAGTTCTTCTTCTTATCTACTTAAGCTCTTATATTAGATAAAAGTATTAATAGATCTTTTTTAATACTTAATTCTCTTACTACTCTTTAGTAAATAGTTAACTCTACTATTAGAAGCCTTATATTATTATATTCTAAAAGTAGTATAAAAAGATATTATACTTTATATATTAATATTAAGCTACTTTATCTTCCTTATAATCTCTTTATATTACTAGAAAGTAAGTGAAAAAGTAAAAGCTTCTTAGGAATATTCTTATTTAGCTTTATTAAGCTATAAACTACTAACTTAATAGCCTTAGCTTACTTAGGAAGTTCTCTCTTACTACTTATTAATTAAACTAACTACTATCTTAAGCTATTAATTTAAAGCTACTTTACTAGCTCTATCATTTAAAGCTACCTCGCCGGCTTTATAACTTTATAACTTAAGGAGAGGATAAGAAATACCTTAGGAAGCTAAGAAATATCTTAGGAAGCTAAGAAATATCTTAGATATAACTATTCCGGGAAGTACTCTCTTACTTTACTTTTTAACTAAGCTAACTATTATTTTAAGTTTATATATTTCCTTGATTTAAAGCTACTTCGTAAGCTCCTCTATTATTATTTAACTTAAAGTTTCTTCGCTAGCTTTATAACTTAACGCAATTAACCTAGCTATAGCTACTTCGCGTAGTAATCTCCTACTTTAACCTAATACTAAGCTAACTACTCTTATAAGTTTACCTTCTTATTATATACTGTAGGGTAGAGCTTCATATAGTATAAAAGTCTTGATTTATTAAGGTATTCTAAAGCTCCCTTATAGAGGGAAGCTCTAGGAGTTCTAGTTATATAAGTAGCCTCTAGTTAGCTAAAGCGCCTTAGGGAGTACCTTAAGTACGCTAAGTGTATAATATACTCTCTTACTTAGCTTTATAATAGTAAGTAAAGTGATATAAATAGTATAAATAATACTACTTGAACTATAATAGGAGTTGATACTAACTAATAGCGTTAGGTCTTAAGCGCTTAGTAGCTCTAAGTATATAAAATAGATAAGTTCTTCTAAACGCTCTTTCCTTAAATAATAACTTTAATATAATATTAGTAAATATAGCTAAAAACTCTCGTACCTTTTATACCTCGTATGCCTCTAATCTTACTATTACTTATATAGTAAAGAAGAAGACTATAAGTTACTTATTTAAAGATTCTAATATAGTTAGTATTATAAGGAATCGTTAGAACTACGCTAATACCTTATAAAATAGGCCTATAGCTACTACACTTCCCTTACCGCCGCCTCTTTACTACTACTACTACTACTACTACTATTACTACTACTATTAACTCCTACTTGCTACTTTACTATAGTAAAAGCTATCTATACTATACCTTATAGCTACTATATTCGTAGTAATTTATAGGGTACACTAGGCGACCCTTATTATAATAAAGAGATAGCTTCGCGCTATTTTTATTATTATAAAAATAATAAATCAAGTTATATTACTACTCTTATCTGCGCTACTAAACTTTTCACTAGCTACTTAGTAGCCTAGGCCCTCCTAAAGAGTATATATATAAGTGTTTTCTTATATTATAGTATTAGAATAATAAAGTATTAAGGTATTAATATTAAAGTATTAAGCGAAGCTAACTCTATAATATATATAAGCTCTTATAATCTACTAAGCTACTATTTAAAAGGCTTTAAAAGCTAAGAAGAATAAGAATAAGAATAAGAATAAAATTTATACTATTATTTATAAGTTATAATAGTAATCTTATAGATTTCAGATATTATCTAACTATTAATATTAGCTACTATCTCTACTTCTACCTTTACTTTCCGTAGAGAGACTACTATTCCCCTCTCTTACCTTATTTTTAGTACTATAAGAATAAGCTCTAGCTCTATAAGAGCTACTATTATCGCTCTTATAGCGCGTTTAGCTTTATATATCTTTACCTTAGTAGAGGTTAATATTATAGCTAGTACTAACTAGTAGTTAATTAACTTTCTTCTCCTTCTTTAGTAAGTAATATAAGCTTTATAACTTTTAAGTAGTAGCTTAAGAATATTACCTCTTTATTATTATAATTTAAGCTAGTGTATTAATATAGCTTTATAACC